CTGGATCCTCTAGACATTTTTGATAAACACTAATTTATGACGTACCTAATCGTTATACATTATTATTATTATCCCCTCCTATAATCGAGACCTGAGAATGAGAGTACGAGAGTCATATTTAAGATCCATGCCCATCTAGTTTTCCAATATCCTATCAAATATCTCTTTTATATATATATATATTTTTTATTGCATTTGCCCATCAATTAATTTTTTCCCATTATCTGTATTTCTTATCAGTGGGCTTATGGAGTGTTGCTATGGGAACTAATGACTCTGGCACAGCAACCTTACGCAAACATCGACGCCTTCGAAATGTTAGCCTTCTTAAAAAAAGGCCATCGTATTGCACAACCACTCAACTGTCCTGATGAACTCTTTACAGTCATAGCTTGTTGCTGGGCTCTGTCAGAGGACGAGAGACCAAGCTTCGGGCAGCTCATTGGCTGTCTGACAGAATTTAACAATGCGCTTAGTAACTTTGTGTGAAAGTTGAGGAACAAGAAATGTGTTAAATACGCGAGGGCAAGGCGTCTTATCTAAGTTGGAGCGATTCATCCAAGGGATGTCTTGAGGTAGTCTCCAGTCCCTTGGACAGAGCATATGGATCGTGTTATAGCTGCTGCTAGGAGATCACTTAGAAAGCATGTTAGTGAACAATGTCATGTAAATAAAGTGCGACCCAGTTTCCCGAACGAGAGATTCTAAGAATGGATGAAAACATATATATGCCAATTACCGCAGGAGTACCGTCAAGAGATACTTGTGAAGGCAAATCGCTTCTAGTCAGCGGTAATGTAATTAGAGCAAGAAAACCATGACGTCAGATAGATTACTGTAAAGGTCATGGCTTCGAGGACATTGGTTTTTCATTCTACACAAGAGCTTGGCTCAATGTACATAATGAAAGCAACTGAAAAACACAGGAACCCCGCCCATTATAATCAGTAGACTAAAGTTTTACAGAGACTGGATTTTATTATTTTGATCTAGTAAGATAGGACCAGATCAGCAGACTTTAAGGTGAATGTGCATTCACAATACATTGTCGGAGTTGTATATAGTCTACAAGTGGGCGTTCGTGAAGCACGTGTCATTTAAGACATTTAGTGCGGAGCAATCGACAAGTTAAAGAGGATTTCCAAAGCAACATGAATTTTATCGTAGAAATGATGAAGCAAGGTATCTGTCTATAACGTCTGGGAGATTTTACCACTTTATAGGCATTTCTAAGTTCAATAAACAAGATGCATTGTGGTATATCTAGGGTACAGAAAAAAAGCGAAATAAACAAAGAAGCTAGACCACAATGCACCATGTTCACTGCCTCACAACGGGTGCTATTTTTTAAAACAGTGTCCAGGTGTCTTGAGTACCAAAGCGAAGAGTGGGGGCTGGTGCCTAGGGCGTCACTTGTAGCTGCGATGTCACGTGATCACAGACACTGAAGACTTTAATTTTAGGAATAAAATTTATAATACAACATGTGCAAAGAGATTAGGAACTGGGCAAAAGAAAATAACTGTAGTCAGTACTTTATACAAGCTAGAAAACTAACAAAATGATAAACCGTACTGGGAATTAAACGACATATTTAAGAATGTTTTTTAAGACAGTTTTTTTACCTCGGCCGATCAGCTACGCTTCAGGAACCCAAAACGTTTTTTCCAGGAGTAGGTGTTCTGTCAGCCTCTCCCTCTCAGGCGCCTCTAGTCATCAGCTGATCGGCTTGATACTATATTCTCTACTTTCACATCCCCATAATACTTTGCGTCTTAGGGGGGTAACCAGAGGGTAAAAACCCACTTATTTTGCTGAAGGCTGATCAGACAATGTTGA